TCTGAAACATATCAGAGCTGCAGTGACTGTCCTGGGCTGCGGCTCAGGAAGGTGGCAGTGGGGGCTCCTCAGGGGCTGTGCTGGCTGCAGGTGGGCAATGGCAAATCGTCCTTGTGGGCTGTCAGATCAGCCCGGGCTGGGCTGGATTTCGGGGGCTGTGGGGAACATGTAGCCGAGCTCTGTGAGGATCTCTGGGCTGGATCTCTGAAAGCAGGGCAGGGCCCTGCCCTGAGGTCTCGAGTTTCACTTCAGTCCTGTGTGAGGAAACACAGGGCCCTGCAGAACCTTGGCCCTGCAGAATCAAGATTCTGCGGAGCACAGTGGGCACTGACAGCCTGACCATGCTTTGAGGGGCCCTGAAAGTGACATAAAAGCAGCTTTAGGGTGACTGAATAGTGGCACTGGGGGGACATGGGCAAGAACCTGCTTCACCTTTCCCTGTGTCCTCCCGCACCTGTCTGTGCATCTGCTGTTGGACAGGCAGTGATGGGGTTCTCCATTTGTATCTCCCCAGGAAACATACTGGAGAGAAGCCATTTGAGTGTTCCAAGTGTGGCAAATGTTACTTTAGAAAAGAGAATCTCATGGAACATGAAGCCAGGAACTGCATGAACCGATCAGAACAGGTACTCCCAGGAGCTGCCCCACTGGGCTGGAGTGCGGCTGCCATCCATCAGGAAGGGAACTGGAGCCTTTTCCGAGCCCCAGGCCACGCTCAGCTCTGAACAGACACCTATCAGCACCGCATGGCACACATTCCATAGCCGGGGTCCCTGTGGCTGGGACCCCCACGGCTGGGACCAGGACGGCATCAGCTTGTGCCTGATGTGCCACACAACCTTCACTGTGTGTTCCAGCGTGCCAGGACACTCTGTGCTGCACAAGACGCGGGTCCTGCGGGTGCAGGCTGAGCGCTGTGCCATGTGCCTGGCAGGGGCTGAGCCGCGGGCTCCGGGCTGGGCTCTGGCTCCTCCAGAAGCTGATGCCGCCCTGTCTCTCGTAGGTGTTCACGTGCTCAGCGTGCCCGGAGGTGTTCAAGCGACGGATGGAGCTGCGGCTGCACATGGTGTCACACACTGGGGAAATGCCATACAAGGTGAGCAGTGCTGGCATCCGGCATCCCCGTGGATGCTGCTGGACACTGGCACAGAGTGGGGGTGAGTGTTTGCCTTCTGGGGCAGCCTGGCCAAGCCCATCAGGGAGCTGAGCCCCCCAGCTTCCTTCCCCCGTCTGTGACAGCCCACTAAGGGTCATTCCCTGTCTCTGAGCTGGAACGTGTTCCAGGGAGACACCACAGCCACCTGCTTCCTGCAGCCGTACAAGGAATCTGTTCTGCTCCCCCACTGGTCCTCCTTGCTCTGAAACCACTCTTTGGGGGCAACTGGAAGCTGACCTCCCTCTCTTTTCTCGCAGTGCTCCTCGTGCTCGCAGCAGTTCATGCAGAAGAAGGATCTTCAGAGCCACATGATAAAGCTGCATGGCGCACCCAAGCCCCACGCGGTAGGGACCAGGGTATCGGGAAGGGGATGATCCTGCACACGCACCTGACCTAGGGAATAGTGCCCGTGGCCCGTCTGGCTCTGTTAGTGAGGCAGGGGGACACAGAGCTGCTGGAAACAGGCTTTTTTGAGTACAGGAGCAGCTGATAGACCTGAGCACTGACCAGCATTTTGCCTCTTGGGCTGTCCCATCTCACTGGGTGTCTCTGAGGCCAGGGGTGCTGCTGTGGCTGCCGCAGGAAGGGCCCTGGAGCAGCCAGGGGAGTGCCAGGTGTTGGGCACAAGTGGGTCTGGTGTGGGTGTACCCTAACCCCCCTCTCCTGTGGCCTTGCAGTGCTCAACCTGCTCCAAGTGCTTTCTGTCCCGGACAGAGCTGCGCCTGCATGAGGCCTTCAAGCACCGTGGAGAGAAGCTGTTTGTGTGTGAGGAGTGTGGGCACAGGGCCTCGAGCCGCAATGGCCTGCAGATGCACATCAAGGCCAAGCACAGGTACGATGTGACCCGTGTCCTCCCTTATGTCACCCTGGCTCTTCTGGCTGTGCTCCCTCCCCTATAGGACTGGGGGTTGGCTGAAGGGAGTGCTCCCTTCCCGGAGGTGCTGGGCTGAGACCCAAGGGGCTGAAACTGGTGGAGGGAGAAGTCATGGTGAGTTTTCCCTGCCCACAGAAACGAGCGGCCCTATGTGTGTGAGTTCTGCCACCACGCCTTCACACAAAAAGCCAACCTCAACATGCACCTGCGCACACACACTGGCGAGAAGCCCTTCCAGTGCCACCTTTGCGGCAAGACCTTCCGGACACAAGGTACCCCTGGCTGCTGCTGGGGCAGGTCATGCCAAGCGCCATGCTCTGGCATCCAGGACCTCCAGAAAGCAGCTTCCCCAGGAGCAAAGCCACACTCTTGTGAGTGCAGGCTGACACCAAGTCACCTCCACTGCCCTCATGGCACAGAAGGGGAACAAGCTGGTGTTTCCCATGACCTTTACCTGGAGCTTATGCTGCACTTGCCTTTCTGGCCTGGTTGCTGGGATGGGGGGCACGTGCCATGCCACTGACTGGCTGCTCTCCCCCTCTCTGCCCCTGATAATGGCAGCGAGCCTGGACAAGCACAACCGGACGCACACCGGCGAGCGGCCATTCAGCTGTGAGTTTTGTGAGCAGCGTTTCACGGAGAAGGGGCCGCTGCTGAGACACATCGCCAGCCGGCACCAGGAGGGGCGGCCCCACTTCTGCCACATCTGCGGGAAGACGTTCAAAGGTAACGCTGGGGCTCCGGCTTTCACAGGGCTCCACAGGAGCCACCTCCTCCCCACAGGCAGCTTGGCATCACTGTGAGCAGGTACAGTGTGGAGCTGCTGCCCACGGGCTCTCACTTCCCTTCCCAGCAGTGGAACAGCTGCGCGTCCATATCCGCCGGCACAAGGGCGTGAGGAAGTTTGAGTGCACTGAGTGTGGCTACAAGTTCACGCGGCAGGTGAGGCCTTCCCCAGCTCTGGGGCCTCTGGGCTGTGCCAGGGAGCCGGCCCTCACCGGGCCCTTCTGCGTGTCCCTTCCTTCACAGGCTCACTTGAGGCGCCACATGGAGATCCATGACCGCGTGGAGAACTACAACCCACGGCAGCGGAAGCTGAGGAACTTGATCATTGAGGACGAGAAGGATGTGATGGTGGTGCTGCAGCCGCCACCAGAGCTGGAGGTGGGCTCGGCCGAGGTGATTGTGGAGTCACTGGCCCACAGGCCACTGCCCGAGGAGGTTCCTGCGCAGAGACTGTGCTCAGACGAGAACTTCTCCACGGCGGACGTGATTGAGCAATCTCTGATTATAACAACAACGATTCCTGAAGACTGTGAGACGTAGTGCAGCCACCCTTCCACTGAAACACAGTAAAGTCTTGGGCTGAGCCAATCTCTGCCACACTTGTTCTTTCGAGTTGTGCATCCGTCCCCTCCCCTTCTTCCCTGCCAGTCTCTCACCCCAGACTACAGGGAAGTCACCATGATGATGTGATTGAGTGTCAAATGAAGAAATGGTGCAAAAGGGCCACTCCAGTCAGTGTCTGTGCACCGTGCAGGGGGATTGGACTGACCTGCTTGTGTCATACTGTGAATCACTTTCTGACACCCGAGGAGCTGGTGGCGGAGGAGCCCCTTTCCTTCAGCCCTCTTACCCTGCTCCTGATTAAAGATTAAAGCTCAACTTCCCCCAGAGAGAGCAGCTCTGCCCTTTCCTTTAACGCATGTGAAAGGATTGTTTCCTCCGTTAAACTTGTGCCTTATTTCTCCTTTATTTTGTCAAGCTTCTGTCAGTTGCTGTTTCTTTCCCCCATTACAGGAGGGGCAGGACCTGTGTCTGCTCACCATTGAGATAATGGAGCTGCAAGTTCACTTGAAACACACTTCAGCAGCCACACAGTGCCTGAGCTCCTGTGGTCAGGGGTAGGGACTTATCTCTGTCCCAAATAACACGATCCAAGGTTGCTGGGGGAGTTATAACCATTTCCTGAGTGGTGCCAGGTTGGGGGAGATCCCTGTGTGTACCCTCACCCCCAGAGTCTCAGCCATGCTCTCTGCCTTCCCCCTCTACTCACCAAGGAGGCAGAGAGGCTCTGTTTTAAGCGTACCCAGATAGAGACAGTCCCACTAAAATTTCACTCCAGGCCCTTTCCCTTCGCAGACGACAGAATTGTGTAACAGGTTTTATTTAACTTGACAGCTGCAAGTAAATTTAAAAACAAACTATGAGAATAAAAATACATTATCTGCAAATGTAAAATGCCTTTGTTTCAAAGGATGGAGTTCAACTGTACTGGAGGATTCAACACAATGAATTCTACAAAAAATAAATAGTTATCTGTAGCTGCTCAGCGGGTGGGGTTGGGGGTCCAGCAGCGAGCACTATTTATAGCTCAGCAGAAATACCTCGGGCTGCAGCGCCGTCCGGCTCTCCGCAGGCACGGCACAGCACGGACAGGCTGCTCCCAGAAAAGCAGCAGATGCCCCGAATTGCAGGCCCCAGTGTCCCCCCCGCCAGGCTCTGCCCACAGGGGCCCACGGGCTGCACCCCAGCGCGTGGTCTCAAGGCACTGTCAGTGTTCCAGACTGAGGAACAGCGCGGGTTCCCCCTGGCTGAGGAGTGCAGTGACCGGGTATGCGGGCTTTCCATCTCTGAATTCAGTTTAAAATACAGACTTCTCTATTGGTTAAAAATAAAAGACCAAAAAAGCAAATGCATCCAGCCACGCCTGAGCTGCTGTCACACTTCAAGGTTCTCCTGAAGATGTGACACTCGCTCCTGGGGAGCTGTGCCACAGGTTCGGCCTCTGCTTGTTCCAGAAACATTCCACAAATAAACCACGCAGCTGCTCTTCAGCAAAGGTAGATAAACAGCCCACCTGGCCAGGGCACTTGGGCAAGTATAAAGGCAAATCTTACACAGGCCAAAAAATATGCAAACCCCAAACAAAAAGAAGAAAAAAACCCCTAAAATAACTACCTTTCAATCCCAACACGTGCACAGAAAGCCTGTCTCCCTCCGAGGCACAGAATAGAGGGGGGGTCCAGACCACTGTCTTACCAGACAGACCCCTCCCAAAAAAGAAACTGAAGGAAGCAGTTTGGTGGCAAAGTACTATGGGGTGAAGGAGCTCCCAGTGAAAGGTGTCTGGTCACAAGCTGTCAGTGGTGGTGCTGTGGCGCGGGTCAGTGTGATTGTTTTCCCTGGGGGTCTCGGGTCCCTGCGGGCAGCGAAGGGCTGAGGGAGCAGCGGAGGCCTCACTGCCTGCGGTCACACAGCAGCACATCCAACAGCCAGAGTTCCCATTCCCTCTGTGATCACTACGGTTTTGTTTCCAAGCACTGGTTTGCCTCAGCCTTCTCCCGAAGCAGCCCAGGTTCTGGATGAGGGACTTATGTCAGGCTGCTTCCTGTGCTAAGGCAGTTCATTGAGGTTCTGGTTGTGAAGGTTTTGGGTCTGCCTGCTCAAGCTGATGGTGTTGTCCAGCGTGATGCTGTCGTCCTCCTGTGGGGTTTCTGGCATGAACTGCCGGAATATGCTGACGCTGCCGTGCCAGAAGATGGGCTCGGGGAGCCGGCCCACCACGCTCCACATTCGTGTCTCGGGGTCATAGGCTTCCAGGACATCTGAGAGTTCAAACGTGTTATCATAGCCCCCGGAGACATAGACCTTCCCGCCAAGCACGGCCACACTTCCCCCAACGTGAACCTGCAAAGTAACAATAAATACACACCACAATCAGGGGTGTTTGCCCAATCTGGCAGCTGATTGAGGGGGTGGGTGCTGTCTGGCAGCTGCTCCTTGGAGGAGGCTCCATGCCCGCCAGCGGCAGCTCAGGCTCTGAAGCAGCACTGCCCACAGCTCTCACATGCTGAGCTGAACACCCGGACATGCTGCCACATTCAGGACTTTGTTTTCCCCATGACTCCGGTACATTTAAACCCGCTCCACGTGCAAGGGGTTCTGATCAAAAGAGCTCTTCATTTTCCAAAGGTAAATGAAACCCATTTGTAATACTTAATGCACCCTGGGGGATGGCAAACGTCCTACCTGAAGCATGGCAGGGATTTTATCCCATTCATTCTTTGCTGGATTGTAAACATCCACTTCAGCCGAGTCGTCTCTGGGGAAGAGAACACAAAATTACTCTTCTGCGTTCTAGAAACTCTGCTTGAGTTCTTCGCCAATGCCAAATTTAGGTGGGTGGGATGAGAGAAGAGCTAGAGGGACATCGTAATCCCCCAAGGCTTCTCTCACCCGCCCCACTTGCCAGACAGGAGGGCGACAGTGACAGGTGAGGGGCGTTTGCGACGCAGAGACACTGACACAAGAATGTGAGGAGGACAAGGTCAGGGCAGCTGAAGAGGAGCTGTCAGTCCTTCCAAGACAGTTCTGGTACAGACAGAATCAAGAGGCTGTGAGGCAGCTCCAGGCAGGGTCGGCTCCAGATCGGCTCTAGGGTGGCCGCAGAGAATGCCTGAGCCTCAACTGCTGTGCTACATTTACTGGTATGAAACCAGTCCCAGCACAAGGGATCATCACTCAGAGGCTTTAGTCTAAGCTATTAAAACAAACCAAAAACTGAATTTGCCATTTTTACTTGTTACCTATTCCTCTGCCCTCCAAAGATTATCCTATAGCTCTACACGGAGCAGCAGCCCATGCACAGGAATTGAAATGAGGAGAGAACACCTGATCCTGATCATCTCCTCACTGACTCCTGCAGATGTACAAGCAATCCAAAATCCTGAACTGTCAACCATCAGTATTTTAAAGGGGTAAGAAAAAGGAAATTCTATGGAATCAGCTTGTGACAAGGAGCTGAACAGCTGCAACACCCCGGCAGGATGGACTGAAACCAGGTGACTCAAAGAGATGCCAGCAAGACGCTCAGCTGGACCCAAAGGGATCAAATAAAAGGTCTTGGGCCAAAGCTGCTGCTTTATGCAAAGCCAAGAGGAGATTAAAAAAAGAGAAGTGGCTGGAGGCCCTCACAGAAGTCTCTGTTTGTTCAGAGTCAACACAGGGAGGGAGATGAAATGCTCCAGCCCGAGCATGCCTTCCCGTTTATTTTTAATTAAGCGGATAACTGAAGTATCTGCGCCATCAGGACAGCTTCAGATGGGTAATTAAGTCCCAGTTTGGAAAGGCACTTAAAAATAGTGACCAATCACTTCATCTTCAGCCTTCTTATCGCTGCTGAGACGGAAGATGTCCTCTCCTGCGCTACAGTTTAATGTTTTCTTGGAGCTTATGTGCTTATTTATAGCAGCGAGGGGGGCTGAACCAGGAGCCAAGGAATCCGAGAAGCCAATTTCCAAGCAGCGCTGCTGACTTCAGCCAGATTTACACCTGGCTGTTCCCCAGCCCGAGGTTACACTCAGGCGTTTTTACACAATTTTAAGGGTAGCCCCACCAGTACCATCAGGGGAAGCACTGCAGTGCTGTCCCAGCACAGTGCCCTCCCTCCAATACCTCCAAAATCCCACACACCTTCCCAGGGAAGCTCCAGGCCCTCCCCACGGGGACACGGGAGGGAGGTGATGGCTCCCACTACTCACCTTATGAAATACATGAGCCCGTTGAGCGTGACAGTTTTTGGGGCAAAGGACCAGGGGGGCAGGTGGCCGCAGTTGACAAGGGACCAGAGGTCACTGTCGGGATCGTAGCACTGCATGACCATGGACTCTTTTCCAGCCAGGGAGCCGATGGCGAACAGCTTCCCGCGGCACGAGGTGGTGGAGCAGTTGTCCATGGGGTACAGCATGGGCTGCAGGGCTTCCCAGCTGTCCAGCGTGTGGTCGTAGCGCTCTGTGCTGTCGGAGGCAACTACGTAGAGCAGTCCATCCAGGACTGTGGAGCTGTGGTATTCCCTGGCTTTCAGCATGGGCGACACCTCCGTCCACTCGTTCACGCTGGAATTGTACCTCCAGACGCAGTCATACAGCCTGGACCCGTCTGAGCCCCCTGTGGCACAGCACGACACGTGTCAGAGCCGGGCTCTGCACAGCCAAGGGCGACGGTGGAGAGCACTTGGCTCAGCACCAGCACCTTTGCTACAGCTGCAGCTACACCTTCCGCATACAGCCCCTCCCGCTGCCCTGGGCTGTACGATGGGGCAGCATTTTAGTTCTGGGGGGTGGCACTACTGTGTGCCATGAGAATTTTCATGCAAGTTTTGCACTGTTTCCAGCAAGCCAGGAAGGATTTCTCCCACGTCCTCCCTAGTCCATACTCAGCCATGAATCAAAACGAGTCTCCCAAGTTTCACCACCTCCATCCTCTAAACTCCCACTTCTGTCCCATTTTGTGGCCCCTGCTCCATTGCTGCCCAGAAGCTGCTGAGGCAGCGGCACCAACGGCAGCTTGGGAACCTCCTGGCCCTGCCTGCAACACACTGA